AACTAACTTTGTTGGTTTTCGGGCCCTTGGTGAAGAGATTGATATCGAGACTACTCAGTCGATCTTCAAAGATATGTTTGTGGTCAATCTCCCGAAGAAGAAACCATGGTTCTTCTCTGTTTGCGCGAGGGCAGGTTCTGACCTCGTTACAGGACCCAAATCCAACAAATACAATGGCTGGGGAACAAAATATTTTTATCTCCGACTTGACTCCTTAACTTTTGAGAATCCATCATTGCATTGTAGAACTGAGTGGAGGATGCCTATTGGTATTAGCTTTTTTTTTATGTCACTTGTGTTCGCATTATCTTTACGTTGCTAATCCTCTTTCTATTTGCAGGTCGGCATCCTTCGAGATTTCTCATTCATTCTGGTGCCACGCCTAACGTAATTAGGCGCTTTAGCGAGGCTGGAAGAGAGTGTTGGCCTGAAGCTTACAGAGATTTATTAGATCGGAGAGAGAAACATCGTGGTGAGTTTTCCTTCCTTCTTCTTCTTTTGGTTGGTTTATTATATCTGAACTAAATTTTTCGAGGATGTGCAGCCCAACAAGCCGCTCGTAGGTCGAAATCTTGCAAGCCTCGCAAACCTCGCAAAACTCGCAAGAAAATGAATCTCGACGACGTTCTTGATCTTTTTGCAACGAAGTCGAATGAGACTCCCGTCGAAACGCTCGTTCTGGCAGGTTCTCAGGATCCGACCGAAGCTCACGGAGACTCAGTTCCTGAATAGAAGGAGGCGAGTCCAAAGAAGACGAAGAGGTTGAAAAAAACTACTTCGTTTAAGAAGATTGATGATGGGAATATCAACGTCGAAGGCAGTCCTACCGACCTTCCTACTCTTGAGGTCTCAAAGAAGAGGTCGTCTCAGAGCGATACATCCGGGGAGCTTCCAAAGTCTGACCCTGCCAAGAAGAGGACGCAAACACTTCCTCCAGCGAATGCCTTCTTTTTCTCGGACAGATACAAAATGATTTCTCAGTTGTCTACTGATGTAAGTTTAAGTTTTCCTCCTTTCTTCATTCTTCTTCCGTTTTTTTTTTAAGTTTACTCACCCACCATATTGTCGTTGTTTTCAGCTTACTGTTCGGACGGACGAGATCATTGCTGAGTATGATCATGCTTTGAATGAGGCAGAGATAAAGATCTACGAACTCAAGGGTCGTATGGCAAACATGAAAAAGAATGCTGAGGAGAAGGAAGCAGCGGCTTTGAAGACAAACTCTGAGTTGCAAGCTGAGATTGCCTATCTCAAAGCAAAGAATGCCGAAATTGATGCCGCCCGAGATTCACTGTGAAAAGAGTTGAAGAGCGAGCAAACACGACTAAGGGGAACTCGGAACAGGGCACTTCGAGGATGGAAAGCGACGACTGAGAAGTGACAAGTTCGAGTCAAGAAGTCGAATCGGTATCGTTCTGAGGTTGATGCGCAGATGAAGCCATTTCTTGAGAATAACCAGCTTTGTGGGATACTTGGTTTTTGCGATCGGTATGCCCTGAAAGGCGGTGCGGTTTCACCATCCATTATCAGCGAGCTTGAGGGGCGCAAGGCAGACAGCAAGACCAAGTTTAGGTCGTCCTCTGTGACCGAACTTGAGCCTGACGACATCCGTGTTACGCCGTTTCGTGATGACCTTTACCCGGGGATCAATCAGGTTGTTGGTTTCAAGGTTCCTACAGGTCTGGACATGTTTGGATCTAACTATGAGGCGATATCAGATAAGCGAGCTTCCGATATGAGGAGCTGAACTTCAGACTGACCTTGGTTTAGTCTTTCTATCTTTTGTTTAGACCATTTTCCTGGTATTGTATACATTTCCTGAGGAGGCTTTGAAACCTTTACTTGCTTGTCCGGGTGGATTTTTGACATACTATTTTATGAGGTTGGATTTTCTAGAATCTTGTGTTTTTTGTTAATTTGTTAGTGTTGCACATAAAAATTTGAACTTTCGAGTTCGGTTTAAAGATTCCAAACTAGGGAGGACTTGACTTTGCGAACTGTGATTTCGGCTTATTTTTTCAATTGTTGAGAACTTGGCTTATATTTTGCAAATATTGAGAACTCGGCTTACGGTGCGAATCTAATGTGTTCGGCTTAATTTTTGCGAGTTAAATGAACTCGGCTTGAAATCCAAGGGAGCTCTATCGTGCTGGAAGGACGGAGTTTGTAAGAAGTGTTCCCTTGTAAACACACGATAAAGACTCCAGGTTTCCTAGATCGAATCGGAGTATGCGGGATGAGCCTGGCTTATTGTTCTCAGATGACCTAGGAATAACTAACGCGGGACTGGCCCCGGCTTTTAAAGATGTGAATTCTTTCACCACGGCGCCATGTGGACGCCTGCGAGACGGATCTTTTAGGTTGCATTGTTGAGAAATGCTATCGAATGTCTGGCCAGGACATCGATGTTAATACCGATGAGTTCGGTTACATAGGAGTTCGACTTAAAAAAAATACTTAGAAAAATAAAATTTTATTGATATCACAGCTGAACTCTTGACGAGCTGCCTACGTACCCAAGAATGGATCAAGCCATGACATTCATAATCTGATATGGACCTTCCCAATTAGCACCGAGTTTACTGGCATTTTTTTCCTCTGTATTCTAAAAACATTTCGGAGAACGAGATCACCATCTTCGAAAAACCGACCTCAAACTTTCATGTTGTAGTATCGAGCCACCATGTGTTGGTAATTCTGAATTCGAAGTAATGTTTGGTCGCATTGCTCTTCTAGTTCGTCAAGTTTGTCGTATATCATTTGGTCGTTGGTTTTGGGATTCTGAGTGAGCATTGTCCTCCTGATGGTCGGGATTGAGATTTCTGCCGGACAAAGAGCCTCGACACCATATGCTAAGGAAAAAGGGGATTGCCCCGTTGATCTTCGAGGTGTTATTCGATGCGACCACAATACTCCGTCGAGTTCGTCAGACCAAATTCCTTTCTTATCAGCGAGCTGTTTTTCGAGTCCGTCAATGATCGTTTTGTTTGTCGCTTCTGCTTGACCGTTACCTTGAGGGTACCTAGGTGTAGAGAAGTTCAATCAGATTTTCCATTCAGTACAAAAGTCTTGAAAAACAGCCTAGGTGAATTGAAATCCGTTGTCAGTGACGATCTCATAAGGAATCCCATATTGGCAAATGATGTTTTTCCAAACGAACTTCTTGACATCGTTTCCATGTATCTTCGGGTAGGCTTCGGCTTCGACCCACTAGGTAAAGTAATCCGTCATGACGAGGACGAACTCTTTTTGAGTTGTGGATCGGCAAAAAAAGCCTATGATGTCCATGGCCCATCGCATACACGCATAAGGGGCAGTGGAGGTCGTTAACAGTTCGGTAGGAAGATTGATTATTGGCCATGCCTTTGGCACTTTTTTGCACTTAGCGAAAAATTTTTGGCAATCTGAAACCATCGTAGGCCAGAAGTAGCTTGCTTTCTTTATCTTGAGGGCAAGAGACTGTCCTCTAGAGTGATTCCCTCCTGATCCTTTGTGAACTCTCTTCATAAGCCGTCCTTGATCATCATATACCGAGCTGCGCGCATTTTTAGTCGGCGTGCTTCCCATTTGTCCGGTGGTAGCTTTCCATCTGCTAAGTATGCTATAATTTCTTGCGTCCAATCTGGAGGTACGTCCTCGTCGTTTTCGTCCACATATAGATGATCGTGACGACCTTTGGAAGGAAGTTTGGCTTCGTCTTCGTCTTCTTGAATGAGGTTGGTCTTATCACTCTGACCATAAAAATTGGGCAGCAGACTTGTGTCGCCCGAGGTGCATTTTCGACGTTGTAATAGTGGTTCAAGGTTTGGTTTTGCCTTATAATCTCTTCGTCGGGTAGCAATGTTGCAATCCTTGATAGTCTCGATACTAGGTCGTGAGATATGTACTTTCAACCGGGATCGTTCGTTTAAGATGTGGATCCAAATTTGACGTGAGAGCTGCTAAGCCATCGACAAGCGCGTTATCTCCTCAAGGGATCTTCGTAAGACGGAATGTGTCGAATTCTGCTGCGAGTTTCTTAGTTAGTTGTAGGTAGACCACCATTCGATCGTTTTTATGTCACACTCCCTGCTGAACTGACTAGCAACAAGCTGAAAGTTGCAGTATGCGTGAATGTGCTTCGTATTCGGCTTCGTTATTGGACGCAGGAAAGTCTAACCAAAAGGATTGTTCCAACAGTTCGCCGGTCGGTGTTTTATGACGAGCCATCCACGTGAAGTACTCATTTTTGGCATCGGGTATATCAGTTTTGACGAGTTTGGTTGAAAATTCAATTATGAAATTGGCTAACACTTGTGATTTTGCGCTAGTCCGGTTTTTGTACTCAATGTCATACTCGCTTAGTTCAATAACCCACTCGCAAGACGTCCTGACTGGCTAGGGCTGTGGAAGATAGCATGGAGTGGTTGGTCAGTGAGTACCGCAATGGAGTGTGACTGAAAGTAAGGTCGGAGTTTTTGGGCTGAGGTACAACAGCAAATGCCAATATTTCTAAGGTCAGATGTCGTGACTCTGCGTCGTTGAGTGCTTTGCTGATGTAAAAAATTGGCTTCTGCTCGCCACGATCTTCTCTGACGAGGACGATGCTGACGACCGAGACACTGTGATGTATAAATACAAGATCTCAGAGTCCTCTGGTTTGGCTGAAATTGGAGGAGCAGACAAGTATTCCTTCAATTGTTTGAACGCATGTTGCAGTCGTTGTTCCAATCAAGATGTTTGTTGCCACGAAGAAGTTGGTAAAAAGGCAAGAATTTGTCCGTTGATCAAGATATGAATCTATTTTAGTCCGAACGATCCATGATGAAAGAGGTTTTCTCGCGGTCTTCAGGATGCATAAGTATCTGATTATCGCCGGAAAATGCGTCCATTGACGAAAGAAGTTCGTTTCCTGCGGTTGCCTCTACCAGCCGATCAACATGCGGCAAAGAAAAACTGTCTTTAGGACAAGCCTTGTTTAGGTCGGTAAAATCGACGCATATTCTCCATTTTCTGTTATTCTATTTGACTACGACCAGATTAGCGAGCCAATCTGGGTACCAAACTTCAGTGATAGATCTTGCTTGAAGTAATCGCTCGACTTCCTTACTAACAGCTTGTGCTTTTTCAGGTCTGAGTTTGCGTCGCTTTTGCTTGATAGGTTTGTATGTTGGATTGATATTGAGCTTGTGGCGTGCCACCCCTGGATCTATGCCCGACATATCGCTGATTGACCAGGCAAAAGTCGTTACGTGCTTGCGGAGAAACTGAATAATATCTTCCCTGATTTCTGGATCCAGGTCGGCACCTATACCGACCTGCCTTTCTGGGAAGGTCTCGTCGATGCTGACCTGAACTATTGTTTCTTGTGGTGGTTTCCGCTTCAGAGTTATTAGGTCGGGCTTCAAGCTGATGAAGCAGAATTGAGTAGCAGTTTGGAGCTTGCATTCGTTAATGTAACATGATCGAGCTATGGCTTGATTTCCACGATGCGTATAAATGCCTCCTGGAGCCGAAAATTTGATGCACTGGTGATAGGTAGAAGCTACTGCCTTCATTGCATGGAGCCATGGAGTTCCAAGGATGGTGTTGTACATCGCTGCTTTCTTCATGAAGAGGAACTTGACAGTTTTTGCTACACCTGGAACATAGATCAGTATTTTGACTATACCGACTTTCATGGTTTGCTCGCCCGTGAATCCTGTTAACGGTTTGATGTCAGCCTTGATTTTTTCCTTAGGAAAATTCTTCTGCTCGATTGTGTCTTGGAAAAGGACGTTAACTAAACTGCCAATGTTTATCAAGATTCGACTAATTTCGATATCGTCGAAGAGTAGGTCGACTACAAGAGAATCGTTGTGTGGCATCGAAGGCCGATTTTATCCGCTTCTGTGAATGCAATGGCTGGTCTGCTTGTCGTTGTTGTGCTGAATTTTGACGCGGTAATCGCCTGTCGACTATACTCTTTTATCCCCCAAACTGAATAATTGCACATCTCGAGTTTGCCAATGATAAAGTTGACTTGTTTCCTGGATTTTTGTTAATGGGTGTCTGTATCGTTGTTTTTCCGACCTCGTTTTTTCTGCTTGGGTCGGGCTGGTTGTGGGTCATGTGTTTCTGTTGTACCAGCAGTGTCTTGGATCCTTTCGTTTGTGACTGTATTAGGTTGCTCTTGCTTTTCATTGTTGCTTTGGAAGGGAGTTCGGGGAACGTCGTCCATCGAGATTAATCTTTTCCTGAATTGTTCCAGAAGGTAATCTTTCAAGTGTCGGCATTCTTCGATGCTCTGTCCTTTACGGTTGTGGAATTCGTAGAACAATGTCTCATCTTGGTCGTCGTTACGGCGAATCCATTTGTTGTTCCATGGTCGTTGTGGTTGAGCCGAGTTGACATTGTTACTTGCGAATTTTCGTTGATTGTCGAATCCTCTATCGTATGTCGGACGTGACTCGTTATTGTCATTTTTAGGTCTCTCTTTTGGGTCGACCTGCTTTGTGAAGCTTTGCTCTGATCGTAGGCGGCCTCTTCTTCTTCCTCTGCAATATACGAGTTTGACCGATGTAGTGCGTCCTCGAGTGTAAGCGGTGGGTTGTGTTTGATCGCTTTGTGGAAAGATGACTTAATCCAAGTTGCCTTGTGTAAACACTCGAGGGCGGCCTCGTCATTGACCATGCAATGAGCAACAACTGACTTGAAACGTTTGATGAAGTCGCAGAGACTTTCGTTTTCTCCCTGAACCATTTGCCATAGTTCGGCATTTCGTGTCTTCTGCCCGATAAACATCGAAAAATGTTTAACAAACGATGTTGCGAGTTCGGCATAAATTTTTATGGAGTTCGCTTCAAGTCGAGTGAACCAATTGAGAGCGCCTCCTTCGAGATTTTCAACGAACAGCTGACACTTCACTTCATCTATTTCTTCTGCCGTCCGGAACTGATAGCGATTCATGACAATGCCAAAAGATGTCAGAAAGTGCTTTGGGTCAGAATCTCCATTGTAAGTTTTGAGTTTTAACTTCTCAAGATGCCGAACAGGAGTGTTAGCGATTCTAGAAGTGAACGGCGTCTTTTGTGCCTCTTGGATAATACGATCAATCTCGGGAGCAGCACTGGTTGCTTTGTGAATCTGCGAGGTGATTTCAAGAAGTTTGGTCTTCATAGTTTCAAATTCTTCGTCGTGATTGAAGGTCGTTTGGCTGGCTGGATTGCGAGTAGATCCTAAGGCTGTAGATCGGACTGTTCCAATCGGGTTGCCTTCTGAGTTGAGGTCGGCCATTAGGTTACGACTTTGCAATGGGGTTTGCGTTTGACTGAGTTCGGAGATTTGAGCCGCCATTGAGGTCCAAGCGTTCATTGTTCTGTTTAGTTATCTCCTGGAACTGAGCAGTTATTGCCTGGAGAATGGCGTTTTGGTCGAACTGTCCGGAGTTCGTTTGTGCGGGTGGTGGTGGTAACACGGTCCGGTCAGTTGGAGTTTCGGTATTGTTTGGATCTGTTCTATTGGGATCTTCCGGAGTATTGTCGTTGTTGCCATTCCTTGTTTCAGATGCAGATAGGTCTGCCATTGCCGAACTTTTTCTTCTTATTGAGCTAGATTTAGAATATTACCATAAATTCCCACAGACGGTGCCAATTGTTGATATGTAATGTCACACTAAGGGGTAAAACAGTAATATTCGAATCAAAAGTGATGTGATCATGGAACCAAAGGCAGCAATGGAGGTTCCAGACGAAGCTTTGGTCGTTCTGGAAGGAGCAATGACACGGTCTAAGGTGCGGATGCTTGCGAAGCTATCCGGAACTGCTCAACAAAGTCTGGAACATGGAGCTTCAAGTCCGGATCGACAAGGAACAACTTACACAGCCAGTCCTAACTTCAATTCAAGCCGAGACATCTATCTGAGGTTTAGACCGCAGTGTAAGTCTGTTGTACTCATTTTCCTGCTTCCGGTTTTGTCCCAATGGGTTTTCTATTTGAAGGTTTTAACGAGGCAATGGGCTTACATCTCATTTTTGGCCCAAACACAAATGGAATGTCAAGGGCCATTGCGGACTAAAAGCTTAAGGGTCATCTTTGACTATGAAGTTCAAGAGTCATTCAACAAAGAAGTCAAAGAGTTATTCAACTTTATTTATTTCTGTCTTTAAGTGTTTTTACATTTTTGAGAATGACTCTTAGCCTACTTTCTCCCCCATATGAACTCGTGTAAGATCATTTGATCAGACATCTCTTTTCTTAATAAAAATCTTTTTCCTTAGAAAAGTTTTCTCTTTTTTTCCTTGCGAAATTTTTTCGATTTCTTGGTGGAGTTAGCCAACAAATCTTTCGGTTTATCAAGTGTTCTTCACCCACTTGATGCAGCCATTCATCAGTTGTCTCGTGGAAGCGTTTTAAGTCGAGATCGGGGCTCAGGGATTTTTGGGAACAAGTTTCTCATGCCTTGACATCCATGTCCGCGAATTCCATCAGCCAGCGTTGCCACCGCCTTGTTTCTTTTCTCGTTGTAAGTTTGGGGCCTAAGGAATTTCGAGTTAACACTCACAACTTAGCATCCGGCTTCGTGATCCATTGCAGTCAAGGGTTATAGACTATTGCCAACCATAGAGCGTGATTTCTTTGGGAAGATCGTATGAAGTGGTATCAGAGCCATGCTCTTGATTCGGTAATATCTATCCAGCCTTAGATTTTTCACATTCTTTTTCTATCTTTCTTTTGTATCAAAAAAAATATCGAGATTTCAAAAAAAAAGGAAAGAAAACAAATTAAAAAAAAAAAAATCATATATGGTTAAAATCCGAACTCTTTTCTATCTATCCCTTTCTCTTCTTTCTCCAAAACTTGATTTTCCGCATTGGTTTGGGCTTACATCGATTTTTCGATCTAGTTTTATAAGAACCAAGGAGAGCTTCTAAGTGTGTGTGAGGATCTTAAGAGAGTTGAGTGAAACATCGAGTGAAACACTTGTGAGGATTCTTTTTACTAACGACTTTGTTTAATTTTTGCGAGGTATAACATGTCTTCTAGTGACGATGCATCCACAATTCGGTCAGGAAAAGTGCGGGAAACTACTATGAACCACAGGCTAGACCGAATTACGCAGATGCTGGATCGCATGAACCAGCGTATGGAACGGCTGGAGTTGAGGCCGCCGGGGAGATATGAACGAGCTGATGAGGCTGAACGCAGTGGCCGAGATGAACCAGTTCGTAGGCAGCAAAGGCGTAGGCAGTCCAGGCAAGAAGGAGTTGAAGAAAACCCTTTTTACCATGTGGGTCATTCTTCCGGAGGAAGCCGAACCGGGCCAAGACGTGGTCGAGAGAACCGTGGACGACGAGATTTTGATCAGGAGCAGGGCCGGAATGATCATGACCAGGCGAGGGATCGGAATGATAACAATATTGGTGGATTTAAGCTGAGGATTCTCCCGTTTTATAGAAAGAACGATCCAGATGCCTTCTTAAAGTGGGAAAAGAAGATCGATATGGTCTTTGGGTGCCAGAATTTGTTCGAACGAAAAAAGGTGAACTTACCTGCTAACGAGTTTCATGATTACGCGGTAGACTGGTGGGATCAAGTAGTGACTAACCACATGCGTAATGGAGAACGGCCTGTTGAGACATAGGACGAAATGGCCGAGTTGATGCGGAGGCGGTTTGTTCCCAGCCATTATCACCGAGGGCTACATCACAAACTTAGGCGTTTGTCACAAGGCAGCAAAGGCGTAGAAGATTATTACCAGGAAATGGAGAGGCTAATGCTTAAGGCCGACGTAGAAGAGCCAGATGATGTGAACATGGCTTGTTTCTTAAGCAGACTGAACCGAGACGTTCAAGACCGGATGGAATTGCCAGATTATGCGAACATGACTGAAATGTTGCATAAGGCAGTCCTGGTATAGCAGCAGCTCAAGAGGAAAGGTGTCTCACGAAAGCCCTATGGATATATTTCTAGGCCGAGTTACTAGGAGGAGAAATCCAGCTATCAGCCCAGGACCGATTCCAAACCAAAGGCTGACACCAGACCTAGTGCGTCCGGATATGACTTCAAATGAAAAGTCGAGACTACATCGACCAGGAACCGAGATATTGAGTGTTTTAAATGTCGGGGTAAGGGGCACTATGCCAATAAATGTCCGATCCAGCGGGCCATGGTGTTGTTGGACAACGGTGTGATCGTGACCGAGGATGAGCAAGAGACGGAGACCACACTGGTATATGATAGCTATGAGGAGCATGCGGCCGAAGGGGATCTCTTAGTGTCAAAGACAAGGTTTGCAGCCTTATCATTGACAGAGGAAGCTGTACCAACGTTGCCAGCACCACTTTGGTGGAGAAACTCAATCTGGAGACCAAGAAGCACCCGCGGCCATACAGTCTACGATGGTTTCTTTATCCATAGGCCGATATGAGGATGAGATTTTATGTGACGTTTTGCCTATAGCAGCCGGCCATATCCTTCTTGGAAGACCATGGCAGTACGACCGCAAAGCCATTCACGACAGCTACACCAATAAGAAGTCTTTTGAACACAAAGGCCGTAAGATCACTGATAACACCTGATTTTGACCACTTTTATTGATCATTTTTAATATATTATGCAGGTTTTTTCATTCAGATTTAAAGGTTTTTAAGAGATTTCAATGTCTTAGAATCTCAAAAGAGTTTTCAGGTTACTTTGACAAAAGGAATGCACTAGGGGGAAAAAAGCATGACTTTGGATAAATTCTGACCGTCGGAAGCTTGGAAACAAACGGAGGTCTTCCCACCATCTGAACATTCCCAAATTTTGACACAAGATAGAGGACACAACGAGTTTTCCAATACAAGTGGAATCAAAGCAATCCAACGGTTAGATCTCCAGATATGGT